GCCTTTGTAAGACCCTCGATCACCCCTGCTGCCTGCTGGAGACCCTGAGGTGAGTCTGCACTAGGTTCTCCTTAAGCAGGTCAGGTAGGGAAAGGAAGTTAGAAACTTCATTTTGTGATGAGGATTTGATGTCTATGTTTATCAGATATTCATCCACAGCCTCACTGATCACACAAAGTGACAGATGCTGTAGCTGTTATGGCAAAGAACCAAAGACAAGATTCTTTTCCCCTGTAGGTAGAGGGAGACTAACATTAATCAAAAAACTATGCTAAGAAACAACTAACAATAGGAACAGTGCTCCTTGTGGAAGTGTCTTCAAAGAGAGCTAAACAAAACAGGGGAGTTGACCAAGTGAAGCCCGGGCATGAGGAACAAGAGTCAAGCAGAGGAAGTTGGATCTCTTGCCTCCCACTCCTCTCCTAATCAGCATGCTGCCCTCTGCTTCTGTGTGGTGTGCTTTTCAAGATTCCACACACACATAAGATTCTATAACATTCTATGATTTTTTTTTCAGTTTCCTTGTATTTCGCTTTTCAACTTCTCTTTAAAAATGGGGGGGGAGAACAGAAGCCAAGGATTCTAGAGTCTTTCTTTATATAAAAAAAATTGAAATATAGCATACTCCATAGTGAAAGAGCATTCACAAGAGGAGAAATATCAAAGCAGGGCTAGACAGCCTGGAAAGAAAGACACCCATGGAAAATCCTTGGAATAGCCTGGGACAGGGAGATAGAGAACAACTCAATAAAGCACAGAAGCTCAGAGGTTCAGGAATATTCAGAATTTCTGGTCCTACAGCAGCAACATGCTGCAAGCACTGACCTCCTGCTAGGCAATGTCCCAAGTACATAACACACATGACCTCTCTCTTTGGCTTCCTTCACAAGACTCAGAAAATCCATGCTACAGGTAAATAAACTACACTTGTAGATAAAGAAAACTTCCCTTATTGTTCAAGTAGCCCTAAAAGAAGTGAGATATGACCCCATGTTTTGCTGGGCCCAGAGCATTTACCCTGCATGATGCCCAGACTGCCTTCACTCAGATATCCTCAGCCTCCTCAGCAAGGGCCATGACCACATTTTCTCAGTAGCATTGAAGACTTTGGGACTTAAGAGGGGTATCCGAACAGCACATCTTGCAATGATGAGTCCATTGCAGTGAATGAATCCACAAAAGTAGCTTTACTCTAAGACAGTATGTAATGATTAAACTTAATGTGCACTGTAATTCTAGCTCTGTGCTGAAAGCTGGGAGAATGCCCTGCCTTTGCTCACACCTTAGCAGCACCATCGTTTCCCTGTAATAGTCATCAAACATCCTCTACCTTCAGTTGCCCCTGACTTCTCCTTTTTCAATTCTGTTGCCTTCATTCACTTGTAGAACATATAAGAAATGAATTTGGGTAGGCAACGTGATTTAGATTATAACAAAGGAGGTAGATCTTCCTCATGGAGCTCACATTCCACATGGAAAAGAAGACAAACTTCCAATGAAATCAGTGAAATACATCTTGTGGGAAATGGGTGATAGAAAGATGAAACAAAAAGGAAAAGAAGAACTCTAAGGGGTTGGGGAGATAGCTCAGTAGAATAAGTGCTTGCCTGGCAAATGCAAGGGCCAGAGTTCAATCCCCGGTTCAAAAAAAAAAAAAAAAAAACAAGAACTCTAGGGACAGACATACAATTTTGAAAAGAAAGTGTTAAAGCACAACTTCACCAAGTTCACTTACCTATGAGCTAAGACCTGAGGCTATGAGGGAATAAGCTACGAAACAAAGGGGGTACAAATGAATGACATTTTGTATCTGTATATTCAAAGTAGAATACATATACAGCTGCATTCTCTTAATTCAATAAATAGAGACATTTGTTCTAATAGTGTGTGTGCACAGGATATCATGTCTCCATCTTGTACAATGAATAACCACTAAGACAACAATATGCAACATACTAATTATTGAAACTGTGCTAGAAATCAGTTTAGAAACTGTCTCATTTCTATTTGTTTCTCAATAAAATTATTAAAAAGAAAAAAAAAAGAATGACCAGATTCTAAGACCTTTGGGTGGTGACCAAATAGGAAACAACCTAATGACGATAGTGCTAAAGCAGATAATAAGTGAGAGATGACATGGATCCAGGTTGAATGACATGGTAGACACAATTAGGACATAAAATTTAACTTGAGATAATGTAGGAAAACATTAGACAACTCTAAACAAAGCTTGACTTACTGTTATTTGTGTCAATGTTTAAGCCCACCCAACATCTATGTGTGTCTTGTAACCAAGAAGGTTGGTTAGCAGTGAGTAGCGGTGAAGGATGAGGGCAATCCACATACACCCAGCCCAACATTGTGGCCTCCACCATGGTACTATGGGTGTTTTTTTAAACCAAACTTGATCATGTAAATCATAACTGTTTATATCCACAGGTGGCTACCTGTGGGATCCCACCTGAGAGCTGAAAGCATCTTGTCTTCATGCTGAGCACCAGCCAGACCCTTACAGAGCTAGAGTTAGACTTCAACATGCTAACAGATACTAGAGCAAAACACCTTAGGCAGGATCTAAAACATCCAAGCTGCAAGCTTCAGAAACTGAAGTAATTGCTCCTTTCTGGTTGACACTGATTTTCAGGGATGATGAGATGGTACAGGAGGTAGATGACGATGTGGCAAACCAAAAAAAGGGGCAAGGAAAAGGGTCAGATTATGTGGAGTAGGAGGAACTCATGGAAATTCAATATACTGTGGAGTCTTGGGTAGAAATTCACCCCTGTCTGGATCCAGAGCTGTGGTCACAGGAATTCATATGCATATACACAAGCCAAGTTCTTCTCAAGCCCATGATAGAGTCTCATTCGCTATGGGCACATTAGTCAAACTGAAACCTATGACTCCGAAACCCACACTCTAAGGGCAGATCAGTAGCCTCTATTTCTTGAAGGGACATCATTAACAATTAGCATGAAGTAAAGACCAAATAGCTCAGCTGACTAAAGCACCTGCAAACAGGCCCAGGGGCCTGGGGTTTGATCCTCGGGCCTGCCATGCTGGCCCTGCCCACGGGACATGCTGAGACAACAATTGAGACTCGGTGTGGTGGTGTGGGTCTGTAATCCTAGCACTTGTGAGACTGTAAACAGGAGAATCACTATGAGTCCAAGCTAGTGGTGAGACACTAAACACCCTACGGACCCTTAAAAAAGATATAAGCATGAGTCTGAGTTCAGAATGGAGATAGAATTTTTGTGGTCTTATTTTCAAAATACTAGAGAAGGGTGGTAAAGTAGTGACATTCTAAAATGTTTCAGAGGACTAAATGAATGAAGAACTCAGAGAACTATTCTGTTTGCTGTTTCTGAAGTCTTCACCAACCAGCAATTGCCTAATAACAGGTCACATTGCTTGTCAAAAGTGAGACAACTGAACTCACTGGTGTGTACCTTTTGCAGGCTTCTGCCACTACCTTCATCTGGATGACAGAACCACATCCCTTACCACATACAAAAAGAGTGGGTTGTTCACATCTCCCTATGCCCTGATGACCTCTGCCTCAATGCACAAAATTATACACATATGTGCACTCTTGAGAGAGCTGCCATCAGTTTCACCTTTTGGCTTCTACTCATGCACTGAGGGATGCTAACTGCAGTTCTGGTCCACTTCCTTCTTTTTTGGAGGGGAACAGGGTCTTTCTATGTAATTCAGGCTGGGCTTCAGCTCACTTTGTAGCCCAGGAAGGTCTCAAACTTACAACAATTCTCCTGCCTTAACATCCCAAGTACTGAGATTACAGGCATGAGCCATCACACCTTGCTCCTCCTCCCTGCTTTTAAGCACAAAGTGTTCCCTTTGCAGAACCATTGCTTCTTTCTACAGTGGATAAATGTGGACAAAGATGTCCATGGGATAGGAAAATGGAAAAAGAAACCAAATGGAACTACTTCCTAATGTCAAGGGTCAGCAATTTCTGGAAGGCTAAGGACTCTGTCACACCTATAATATCTAATCCTCACTATCTCTACAGATGAAAACATGGAGTCAAAAGATTGACTGTTTTCGCAAGATTCCATAGGTATAATGCAAAAATACAAGAAAGGTATTCAGGATCCAGATACCCAGATAGCAAACCTGGAGACAATGACTATGGACTCATGTGCATCCATCCTGCAGGCTTCTTGGCTGTGGCCTCACCTCCAACTGCTGCCAGGATCTGGCCTCTGTGCTCAGCACCAGCTCCAGCCTCAAAGAGTTGGACCTGCAGCAGAATGACCTGGGAAGCTTTGGTGTGCATCTGCTCTTTGAGGGTCTCAGGAAGCCCAAATGCCAACTCATACTACTATGGTAAGGCTATGGGGACCCTGGGATGGAAAAAAGAAGAAAAATAGATGCAGATATAACTAGCCTGGGCTTTGTCCTAACTATGTCACTTACACTATGTGAGTTCAGCAAGTAACAGTCTTCTGTAAGACCCTGTTTCCTGACCAGTGCACTCCAACTGTCATACTCACTTGTGGCTCATAGTAACATACAATGTATGTGTATTCAATCTATTATACACCACTTGTCTACCTAGGGTATGGTTCTGCATTTCTTCCCAACCTCCAAAAACAGGGTGATCTAAAAACGAGAATTGACTAAATGATATTGATTTATAAAGTACACGTTATACAGGATTTAAATGTTCACTTCACTCTGGAGGAAAACTTCATCCATTTATTTATTGTCATCTATTAGTGGCAGGCCTCTGACATGCAGAGCACATGCCAGGCCTTATCAATATACCAGTGAAAAATAAATAAACAAATAATTGTAAGGGGCTGACAAGATGGCTCAACAATCTAAAGCATCTGCTTAGGCAAGCTTAGGCAGATACACAAGAACCGCGGTTCAATCCCTGACTCCACATATTGTGCCAGTCCCACCCCCATGGCTGAGCCAGCTACAAAAATAAATAAATAAATAAATATACTAGTGAGCAGACATGAGCTTGAAGTCCTGAAAGAGGCTTAACCAAGTGGAAACGAGATGCATATTCATATCCTATGAGAAAACACATGGGTATTTACACAAGAAAACTACTAATGAATCACTTTACCTTGATCACACTGGTCAATTTCCAGGAAACCTAATATGAACAGATTCCTTCATCAGTGGCCAGATGCCTACATTAGTTTGCAGATATACTGTACCCTGTGCACTTTGGCAATGTGGGAAGCTTCCAAAAGAAAGAGATTTCTCTTGTTCTTGCAGGCTGGATGTCACTCTGCTAAGTGATGAGGAGCTGAGGATCCTGGAGCAAGAGAAACCACAGCTGCTCATCTCCAGTGGACAGTAAGAGATGGAACTGGAACTTCCTCAGGATGACACAAGCTTAGGGCTAAGCCTCTGGATCTGGTGTGGGGCTGAGAGATGGGGCAGGTGTTAGGGTCTGGGAGGCACAGAGTCAGCAAGACACCAAGATAGCACAGCAACCAGAGTAACATATGCATTTTGGTTATGTACTGAAAATAAGATCAGATCACCTGCCCAATTAACCCCTTCATTAGAAACTGAGTTCATGCTCTCAGCTCATGATAATGTGACGTAAAGTACGCACGTGTAAGCTTTCCTTGAATGTACACGGATGTTGAAGCAATGAAAACAGTGATCACAAGGGAATATCAGGAAAAAGACAGAGAGAGACACTTGGAGGAAAGCCACCAACATGTCACTATCACCAGTCACCCCTCAATGCACAGACACTTACCCACCCTCAGGACTGAGACAGGGCTTCAGGGCAGGTCCCACAGAACACACTGAAGCCCCAGTGTGCATTCTGATGAACATATTTTGACCCATTATTTTGAAATCTTCTATCTTTAATGGCATGGCTTTGGAGTTTCACCTCAGCAAAAGTGAAAGGATGACTAGGTTTAAAACAAAACAGAGGAAGTCATTCATTATGGAGTAAGAGTTTTCTACAAATCACTGTGCATCAACCACTACTTGGGAATCTGAAACACAATAGTAAGCAAAACAGATGAAGCCCATCTTTCAGGAGCTTGGTCCACCACGGAGACAAGGACAGGTTTTCACACAACCATCGGTAATGGTACCTGGGGTCAATGTACACACACTGGTGGGCTTGACTTAACTCACTCAAGGAACTGAGTCAAGCTCTGAAAGATGTGAGTGGTTAAGAGGGGTTTGAGAAAGAGTTGATTCTATGCAGAAGGAGAGACTATGAAGGAGAAGAGAACTTAGCTCCATGAAGGACCAGGAGGAGGCCAACTGTGGGATGTGGCTCTACTTAAAGTGTGGTGTACAGGCAAGGGGCAGCAGCATCACCATCATCCAAGGGCAAAGTCAGTCCTCATCCAGATCTGCTCAAAATCTCTATGAGCCCAAACAAAATCCTGCAGTGTAATATTTTAAATATATCCTGATGCATTTTAAGTAGAATGAGTTTAATAGCCACTTTTCTAGAGGTCAGTAATCAGGGAGAAAGTGAATAAGTGGGGTGGAGGATGACAAGGCCTATAGCAAGGCCTTTAGGACTTGTTATCTTTCTGTTTCCTCCACGGGCAATGGAGTGATACTGTAGGAATCAGCACTGAAGTGATATGTTGCATTCACGTTTTAAAATCACCCACTATTATGAAAAGGAATAGCAGAGGGCCAGGGCAGAAAACATTTTAGAGGGTGCTGGAGTGCTTCAGGCCACAGACACCAGCACCTAGGACAGGATGGAGGCCATGAGAAGTGGAGAGTGCGGGATAAAAGGAAAGCTACATTTGACATATTGGCCAGATGACCAGCTGAGGGTGGGCAAGTGCTTTAGTTTATTTTGTGCAATTATAACACAAAATCTGAGACTGATTGATTAAGCAGAAATAGTTATGCTATGTTATGTTATTATGTTGTGTTGTTATGTGATATGATAGATGTTGTGTTGTTATGTTATCCTATGTCATGTTATGCTGTTATGCTGTGCTATGCGGTGCTGTGTTGTGCTGCGCTGTGCTACATTATTGAGGCTGGGAAGGCTAAACTATAAGAGTTTAAGTCTCTAATGACCTGTTTATAGAAAAGGAAAGGCCAGAACACATAGAGGAGAATAAGAGGGGGCCCAGCTCAATTTTGTGACATATCTGTCATTGCCACAACAGCTGCATTACTATGATAAAGCCAGTAATCTCAACGTAACAGCTAAGACTCAAAATCCCATCACTCCTTAGAGTTAATAGAACTCTATACAATTGTACTGGGGAGTAACTTTATGAAGTGTACACTATGGGAGACACATTTAAGCCACAGCAACAAAAGAGGATTCAAGATGATACCCCAGTTCTGGCATGGATATGTGGGTGGATGGAGGGCCACACACAGAGATGGGAACTTCAGAATTAAGGGATGGAGTTCAAATTTGAGTGCATTGAATTGTAACTGAGTGTGTCAAATACAAAGCCCTGGCTTCCCTGAGATTGACACAGAATGAACATCTCCATGTGTAGATATCCAGATACAAGGATCCCTACAGAAGACCCGGAAGGCGGAGAAGAGAGGTGCAGCACATCCTCATTCAAGCAGATACCACAGTCAGGTATTTCATTGGGTTGTGCTGGGACCACTAAGATGGGGGCAGTGTCACTATGGAAGGTCAAGGCCTTCATGGCCTCCATACCCCTTTGCTTAGAGTGGGACAGGGCAGATTAACCACCTATAGGGCCCTATTCCAAATAAAATTCTCTAATACTAAAACATGGAAATTGCCCTGGATTGTTGATTTCCCTGAAGCTGAGATAAGGATCCAAACCCACTGCACTTGTACAATAAGCTTGCAGGTTCCAGACTCATATTCCTCCCAAAAATGAATGCTTATGAGTGGTAAGAAGCATAGGAAGGAGGTTATTAGGCAGAAATTAAAAGGCACACATTCAAAGAAGTATATTGCAGGCCCACAAGAGAGACCACCACCAAAGTTACTGTAATGGGAAACTTAGTCTTCTCTTGAGAAAGTGGAAACCCAGAAAAATACAGCCTGCTGCTGAGAAGGGTACCAGCCCATATAACACATAGGAGCACAGTTTTTATAAATGGTTAACTTAAGGATTCTTTGAATTTCCTCAACCTATTCCTTTATCTGAGGATTGGATTCTAGCTCTTTAGTTTCTTACTTAAGCCAAATTACAGGCATTCTCTATTCCTGAGGAGTTTTCAGTGTGAAGAGTCAGACAGGAAAAGAGCCTAAATTTAACCAACAAACAGCTAATATAAATCACCATACCTGTTCTGCACTAGAGTGTGGAAGTTGCACTCTTCTTAAAGAGTCTTATTTTAGTTATGATTGTCTTCTCTCTTACCTATCTTTTATTTCTATCCTGTCTATGGCTTGGACCAGACCATGAACCATAGCATTGACCTCCCATTCTGAGCTGCTGAGGCCTGAGAATCCACTCCCCATCCCTGACTGCCAATCTACCTTTTGAGTCATTTCACTCCCAGCTCACCACCTTGGCACATGCTCGGGGGAGTGACACTTCTGGACCAGTGTGGAATTGCAGTGAGCAAAGGATGTTTGCAGACAGCAGGCAGCCTTAGGACAGGGACAGAAGTTGTAGGCAAATTCTCTGCTATGACCAGGCTGGCCAGCCTCAGGACAAGCCTACCATGGACCTAATGTGGGAGACCAGGCAGAAGAACTCAGAACTGACCACTTCCCTGTCAGTCCCAGACAGAGATTCCTCATGTGTAGCTCCAGGGGAACCCTTCCATCTGTCTGTTCCTCACTCTCTAGGTGACCTGCACATGGAGACCCTGGACAATAAAGGTGCAATCTGGAGCACCACAAGTCCTCTTCCTCTGATGTTAATTGACAAAAAGAGGAGCCATTGGAGGTGAGTGAGATATTTTGGCTGCCAATCCCTGGGCTCACCATCCACATTCCCTGTACTGGGTCCCACAGACAGTGCCCACAGCATCTCT